TCCTTGCCAAGATGGCGGAAATTGAAGGAGCTCTTGGACGTCAGTTCCAGTCCCTTTCTATTGTTTTTGTATGCGCGGTTAACACGAAACTGGCTTCACTTTGAGCAACCAAGTTCCTACTCCAGATATATATGGAGCTCACTGTTCCAGACTTGTCAACAACTGGGAACAAACAGTGCGAAGTGCAAGCATGGCATCTTGTTGACAAGCTGTCATGTTTTTACGGCGAACGCGAATCGACAACGAAAATTTTCAGTTTTTAAAAACAAATAAAACCGTCAACGGATAAACATTTCACAAGATATGCAGACCAAATAGCTAAAATTGCTTAAGTTGTTCCGAATATTTAAAAAAGCATAGAAAAATATTAAAGTTATAATTATAAATGTCATTGAAAATTCACGTCGCTTTGCCAAATCGCGTCCGGTCTGTATGTGCCTTTAGACGAAAATGTTTTTTCTAGCATTATTTTTAGAGGGTCATGCAGACTTTCAACAAAAGCAAATTCGAAGTACATGTTCGAAGTCAGAACATTTATCGCCATGCATTTGGTCTTGAAACGTGAATTGGGCTTGCACAGGAATCGAACCCTTGACCATTGCGCACCCTATAAGCGAGAATCATACCACTACTCACTAGGACCAGCAAGGCTAATTCTGGCAAATGTGCACGAAGCAACAAGCTCACCAATGAACAGTTGCTTCTACACAATTAATTACAGATATAATCACTGGTATTCAATTTTCGACTTTTAGCAGGAAGAGGAATAAGCACTTCAGTTCTTCTCAAAGTCGTAGTTGTTTGGTGAAGAGTGCAATCCGAAATCTACGAAAAATTGATGTATTCGTTAATTTAAAATTAGTTTAACAGTATGCGCCACATTGACATTGTATTGACAATGGCGGTCCGGCAGGCGCGTCTCTGTGGCGCAATGGGTTAGCGCGTTCGGCTGTTAACCGAAAGGTTGATGGTTAGAATCCATCCAGCGACGTTCTTCGCTAAATTTTTGGCTAGAAATATATTGAAATATACTTCGATTCCTGGTAGATTTCTTTGTTTTTATATATTAATGTCGCGTCTACCGAGCAGATCTTTGACATTTGTTATATATATATATATATATATATATATATATATATAAAGTTTTTGGTTTACGAAACACAAACAGTGCTCATTCAATACCATATAGATAGAGCGTAATATAGTTTTTCGTTTTACCCGAGCACAACATTCCATTCCCTTTGTCTTACGTTAGCCAGTCAGATTTAGCGACATAAATATCTTAATAAGTCCAAGGTCATAATTGCTAACCATAACCTTTTGAAAGCTAGAAAAGGTGGAAAAAAAGTTTAAAAAATTATTAAGAAAAAAATATGCTATAAAGTCAGACAAAACATAACACAACCCGGACTGCGTTTCACTTTCCGCACGCAGCGCACTTACCATATACGCTAACGGCAAGCTTGGTAAAAGCTAGCACAAACAAAAGTTTTTACATTTAACTATAGCCACTATATAGCCGACAATTTACTATATACCCGGCTGAATTGTTACTTTGTTTATATTTGATATGATATATGATATATATATCTCTTGTCTACCACAATCAACTGTCAGAAAGCCACCATTTTTATAATAAAAACAGACAGAATAAGAGTTACAAAATGGGCATTTATTAATGTAAATATAAAAAAATACATACAATCTGTAAATACATTTTATAACTTTAACTCAACTTATGAAGCAATCGTATAATTAGATATCCTGTGACTAATGCACCATATAACAAAATTTTAACGTAACATAATAATTCTAAAATCTAAATGATGTGACTATAAAATTATTAAATGTACCATATTAAACAAAATAATTATGAATATATGAATAAACCTTTGATATTATTATAAAAGCATGCACGGTCACTCACGAAAAAGCTTTACGATGTTACTTTGGGCAATCTTCTCTTCACCCTGTAGAAAGCCGCTACAAAAGCAGTTGATTGTGCGCACAACTAGCGCAAACAAAAGCCGCTCTTTGTTTTACGGCCTGTTCGCAGGCGTACAAGCCCTAATTAGTCGACCTGAGTGTTTAGCCGGCATAGTATCTAGCGCTACGCGCAGATACAAAAATAGGTACGCTAGGCGTACGTGTATCAGCGCAAAGGAATTGCATCGTTGCTATGAAAACATTTCATGCACAATTATTGAATAAACATTTATATATTTTCGAAGTGACTATACAGCCGGCAATTTAGTAAACTGCTGGCTATACAGCCGGCTATTTAGTAAAATGCTGGCTATATAGTAGTCGCCTTCGCAACCATTCTTTGTGACGAGGTTTCTCCCGACAAGCGGCCGCCCACTTGAGCACAACATTCCATTCCCTTTGTCTCAGTACGTTAGCTAATCAGATTTAGTGACATAAATATCTTAATTAACAAGTCCAAGGTCAAATATAACTGCAAACCGTAACAGTGGCGTAACGTTATATCAGGGGGGCCCCGGTTCAAACTTTTCGAAGGCCCCCCTAGTAGAAGTGCCAAAGGCACAAGTTGAGCGCCGTATATGCACGAGTTTTCTAGTGGGTCCAGGGTATGCTCACCCGGAAAATTAGTTTGAATCTAGACTCTCTGAAATGCCAGTTCCCGGACTTTGGGGAGAGATTTTACAGAATTCTGATGGTCAGAAAACGGCATTGTTGCTCTATAGGCTATAGCCTGAGCTTGGGGGCCCCCTTTCTCTTCACCCTGTAGAAAGCCGCCATCTTTGTTTTATGGCCTGTTCGCAGGCGTACAGCCCTAATTAGTCGACCTGAGTGTTTAACGCACGCACACACCCACACACATCCTTGGCAAAGGGGCTCACTTTCATTAATCTTGACGAAAAGTTATTCGCTTACTATTTACGAGAACAAGGAGCCATATTTGACATCGTTATTGAAAGGGTGTGCCCAAGGCGACCGTAATAGATCCGGATTTATTCTTAATTTCCTATCGATAACTACAATTAAATAAAATCTACAAATACAATTTTCTATATGATCGAAGTGTTGTGAGCTTTGCTGTATGTGCATTGTGTGCATTATATATTTATACGTTGTACGTTACATTAGGGAATTTAAGATATGGAAGACGCCAACTTAAGGACGACGGTTATCAACACAACGAAATTCATTTAGTTCAAAAGAAATTAATAATTGAGAGCATTTTGGAAGTTTAAGTCGTCATCTAGGCTCAATGTTTACAATGGCAAAATTAGGGTAAGGCGGTTACCGAAAAACGGATTAAACGAGTGAAGTTTGAGCAGCATATTTTCAAATGTATTTTCAAACGTGTAGTAAAAAATCGATTCACTCGGTTTGTTCGGGAGTTTTTTCGGCCGGTTTTCGGTTTCTCATCGGAACTGCCTCACCATAGACAAAACATCTATTATCAAGCTTACATCATGTTGTATACAACACTAGCATTTCATAACAGGCTTGAGCAGAGTTCTTCTCAACGGTGCAATGCAATGTCTTTGAAATTGTATTACACACAAGACAAGATTTCCACACAATGATATAGGTCAGTGAGTTTGTTAGGCCGTAATTGTTTGTCCTTGCGTTGGTGTCCACCATATACATTACCCTACATACTGTGACGGTGATAGTCATGATTGTCATAATTGATTTAGACGACGAGAATAACGAGAAACTCAGTCATGAAGGTCATAAACTCATTCGTGAATGTCGCAGAGGTAATCATCATGCATCAGGTTCATCATGTTGGGGTGATGATGTTCTTCGGACTTCTCCATGCGCATCTGTTTGTTCTTCAGGAAAGTACACTAAAAATATTATTACAAACTTAACTAGCAAACTTTGATGTTAGCATGGGTGAAAAAGTAGGCAAGTTTAAAAATTCGAAGAAAGATTTATTAACTAGCATACGTATAGTAGTAAATTCTTAGGTTATGGCAATTATGACAACATAGAACAATTTTAAAATAAACTATAGATTTCCAATATCATATAAAGAACGAGTCATAAACATTGATGATCTCTTTTGTTTCAGAAAGCCAATCACATGGAAAACGTTTTCATAATTATTAGTAACTAACTGAATTTTATCTTCTGTGTTCACATGCAGACACAGGAAGTGCATATTTATATTTTCTACCCGTGGCAGACGGTAGATGTCTATATATATTCCCTTTGCAAACTAGGAAACATTGTTGCGGGTCAGCATTTGAAAACTTCCATATGTCTTTCACTCGACAGCTCAATGACAATGGGTAGAGAGCGGCGGTCTATAGAAACCTCAAGAAAGCAAATTTGCTTCCCAGGAAATTGACCTAAATAATTCAGATTGAAACATATTTTGTTTCGCAAGTGCAATTTTTGATGTACATGAAACCGTTTCTCGTTTGTTCGGTTTCAGAAAAATGGCTAAGAAACAATACTTCTTGGTTTGCCCAGGAAATGGACTTGCTCCAAGTCTCTCTTTCATTGTCATATCGATCCACTATAGTGTATATTACATGACGTAGCACGGACAGGCGGAGCGAGAAAGACTTGTCAACTTCGGAAAATCTCGGTTCAAAACTGAACCGAAAATGCAAGACTTGTTTTAATTGTTTTCCTTCAATTTCTTTCTGTATTATTTACTATAATTGAACTCGTGTTATTTACACTATGCTAGATCAATACATATAAACACTGACAGAAAACAATTAAAGCAAGTCTTGCATTTTCGGTTCAGTTTCGAACCGAGAATTTCCGAAGTTGACAAGTCTCTCTTTCTCGCTCCGCCCCTCCGTACTACGTCATGTAATGTACACTATAGTGGATCGATACTATATGACAATGAAATAATAAGAAACAGGTGCAGACAGCAGTTTCGATAATGAGATAGTTTAGTCACTTTAGTGAGTGCATGTATATTACCTGCCTCACGCAACCCTTCCCCAAAGTTTTTCACAACAGTCCACAAATAGGAGAAAACCAAACATCGTGTCATCAAAAATAAACACACTGGTTAAAATGAGAAAGAGACATTATATTATCTGCTAGCTGCTGTATAAACGTGGACCTCCTATTCTGTATTATAACTATACCAGGAATTTACAGACCATATTTTCATACATGCATTGCAAGGTGCAACTAAATTGAACTACTTGCCATCAAATACCAGATCAGCAGATGGATGACCACCATCCAGAATACTGCTTAGGAAACCCATCTAACTGACACCATATACTCCCCACATTCTCACCTCTTTTTAGCTATTATTATGAAGGGTAAAGGCTAAGCACGAACAATCGGTCACAAATATATATATAGAATAACGGATACGGGAAAATGCTTTAGTGAATGAACTATATTATCAGTCACTCACTAACTTTTCCCATTCAATTTAAAGTTGTGCAAATATTAAATCTTACCGCAAGCAATGATGGATACATTGATTGTGTTGCTTTGCTTATTCCAGTCCATCCCAGTCTAAATGATCAAGTTAATGTGAGAATGTAAAATTGTAATGTACATCACTAATGTCTATTAATTCAAGTATAATTCAACATTCAAGGGAGCTACCAAAAATAAAGCCATAATGCCGCCAAGTTTTAATAATAATAATAATAATAATAATAATAAAAATAAAGTTATCGACTGCAATTTTTGGCCGATTTCTATGGACACTACCTTCTTAATTCAATTGGTTCTTCTAAAACCTTTGCTGCTATGTTTATCAACAACTGGGTATATTTATGGTTGAGTTTAATTTTTATTCTTCTTCTTATTAGTCGCGTTTTACGACGTTGATCTAGGCGCCGTAGCGGTACAAATATATTCTATTCTTGAAGTACTGAGAGACAAAAAATTGTCATTATAAGTGACAAAATATTGCCATCGAATGTCGCTGAACTGTAAAATATCGACGGCAATATTTTACCGACGAGAATTTAGCAACATTGCGAGGACTAAATATTAAGAGTAGTTTCGTATTTTCAATTATTTTTCATCTTTGTCATCTTTACTGCGAAATGCAGTATTGCATATAAAAAGCACATTATTTATTTAAATTTTGTGCTTGTATTTCTGCACTGACATTATGCACAGAAAAATTTTAAATTTCTACTAATGGTTAAGTTTGGTTAATTGAATGGTTTTTAAAGATTTACCATGTATGCGATTTACCATACAAAATTCCATTAAATTCCATAAAATTCCATGGAAATTTAATTTTTTTTTAGTGTCCTGTGCACGTGATGGGCGCGTCCGGAATTCTCGCGGGCGCGGAAGGGTGGAATTAAAAATTAATTGCACAGCCGTACAAATGTATGCTCAAATACACAGTTGTGCCAAAAATTGACTAAAATTATATAACCTAAAATATAGCAGAGTAACTAAAGGTCCCCGAACATTTGAAGGCTTCCTGCTCGGACTCAATGCAGCTAACATCCAAGAATAGTTATATATATATGTATAGGTAATCACGCAAAGTTGCTCGTACAATTAGAGATTAATAGTACTCGTGACGTTTGGAAATTTTTCCAAAATTGGACGAGCCGCAGGGGCGAGTGAGTAAATTGGATACTTATCAATGTCAACATCATATTCTCTCGCCAAAGCCCAATCCTGCCATACTTTCAACCAAAATTTGGTGCTTTTGTTCGTATTTTAATTTAGTTCTTTTGTTAAAGCAAAATGTGGTGCTTTTGTTCGTATTTTCATCTAGTTCCTCAGTTAACTTCCTCTTAATCCTCTAGGGCAATTTCATTTCACAATTCTGTTTAAAATACGTTTCCGCCATTTTGTTTGTTTTGGGAAAATCATTAATTGTACTGCAGTACAATTAATGAAATAATTGTACACCTCTCAACCAATCAGCATCCAGTAATTTTGTCATGCTAATAATAAGCTTTGTTAACAAGAGAGTCTAAAACTCCATAAGCTTTATTTCTTTCTCCCTTTCTGTAGTGATAGTGAACTTTATTTAGGCACGGGGCCTGTCATCGAAAATAAGATGATCTTCCCAGGCGCCGTGACATTTGAAATATTTACAATATTTACAAGGAGAATGAGAAATTAAAGCTATATACATAAACAAATTAATTCTACAGTTCATTTTTGAATATTTTTAAGGAAGTGGAATTCCAAATTTCAATTTTCAATTGGTATTGAATTCCATACCACTGCTCCATTATATTCGAGACTATTTTGCTGTTTGGTTTAGGGATAACAAAATTGTAGTCATGACCTCGTGTACCATGACTGTGAATTAAATTCGCTCGATTAAATGGCTGTGAAAGATAAGATGGGCCTAATTGGTGGAACACTTTGAACATTAGACAAGATTTTTGTTTCATTCGCCTATCTTCTAGTGTCGGCCAATTTAAGTTATTTAAAATTTGGGAATAGCGTATTTCGTAGTTGCTCCTAGTAATTATTCGAGCTGCTCGATTTTGTAATTTTTGAAACTTATCTCGTAAATCATTTCTGCAATTATCCCACACAGAAGTTGACAGAACTACAATAATCAAAATGGGGGAGAATGATAGAAGAGTGTATGTCAACTAGCGTGTTAATTGGCACCAGATCACGAATGCGTCGTAACATTTCCAGGCCTTTGGCTACTTTTTTGGATATATAATTTACGTGTTCTTCCTACGATAAATTTTCATCAATCATAAGCCCCAGGGATTTTGTTACAACTACTCGCTTTAAGCGGTGTCCTCCGATAAATATCATAGGATCTGATGTCAACTTATTTATTCGTTTAAACTTAGTCTATTTGCTAACGTGCCGGAACAGAAGATAAACAAGCCCATGCAGTGTAAGATACAAAATATATTATCTCAACTAAATACAAGATGGCGGAACACTCTTTTATACATGCCCCAACATGCGTTGGGGTCGTCAGTGCACAGGGGTACCGTACACTACACCTCCCCCCAAGTACACAATAGTCATATACTTCAACCACACGTTATGTAACTACTTTGCATATCAACTAGAGTTCAATGTTCCACTTTTAAATAAACTATAATTTATAATGTCCTAGTAAGAAAGTCAATAAAGTACCTCAACTAATTTAATTAAACTAAAGTCCTAAATTACGAATGTTAATTTAATGTTCTACTTATCGTCAGGCCTCGAAATAAATCTGAACGTTATATCGGTCATTATGACCGGTGGATCACTAAATTTACTGGTCACAGCGGAATTTATGCCGGTCATTGTCACTCCTTAGATTCTTTTTCCCCTCATCTTTTGCGTGACTCGTAACTTTAGAAACAATTGTGTATTTTAATTGTATTTGTATACAAAGTGGAAGTATGGCGTTTATCAAAGCTTTAGTAGTAATCATTACTAATAACATTAACATTGTTTAATAATATATTAAGTCGCAAATGACAACTGTAGTTTGAGTGGTCCGTACAAACTGGACGCGATTTGGCAACGCGACGCGAAATTTCAATTTTCAATGACATGAACTTTAATATTTTTCTATGTTTTTCAAATATTCGGAACCACTTAAGCTAATTTAGCTATTTGGTCTGCAAATCTTGTACAATTTTTATCGGTTGACGGTTTTATTTGTTTTTAAAACTGACAATTCGCGTCGCGTTATCGAATCGCGTTCGGGCTGTATGGCTAGTTGAAATCGCTTTACATCCTACTTATGAAATAACTAAATTTATTCAGCATTCAGTTTTGTGTATGATTTAATGTGTATTTGTTAAGGTTATTTGCACTTATATGAAATTTTAAAAGATTTAATCTTTTCAGTCGCACGTGTGAAAAACGAGTAACTGGAAAACAGCCCTAAGGCACAATGCTTGCGGCATATCGTATCTGTATGAGAACATATTTGAACGTACTTTTTTATTAATTTGCCGGTCAAACTGTGAAATTTGACTGGCACTTATTGCGAGGCCTGCTTATCGTCATCTATCAGCTTCATAAGTCCAATCGCTGGGGAGGTTGGACAACTCTACCAGAACGGGTAGTGGTATACTGAGTGGATTGAACCCCAGAAGTGGATTGAGCCCTAGATGTCGGCGCAACAGGTGGTACTATGGGTGGCATTGGTAGTGGTACAGGTTGTAAGAAATGTTGCTGGGTTGCGAGGGCATTAACAATTTGTTCTGGACGGATAGGTTTCGTTTTTTGGCTCCCTTTGGTAAAGGAAACTAAGGCAGATCGATTACGCCTAAGAATTCCCTTGTCAGTCTTCACAAGGTAGGATCTGGGATACTGGGCGGAAGAAAGGATCTCACCTGGCTTACTTTGATCCTTGACCCATACTGCATCTCCAGACTCAAAGGTGGGCAGTTCTCTTGCTCTATGCCTACGGTTGAAATTCATTTCTTGTGCTCTCCGGTAGGACTTTTCCTTGGATACCACGCTCTCCAACTCGGAAGTAAGGTCCTTTGGTTTGAGTATAGCTGGGAGAACGGGTAGCTGTGTCTTTAGTCGGCGGCCCATAAGGAGCTGACTTGGCGACAAACCATTCTGTAGGGGTGTCGAGTGATACGATAGAAGGGCAAGATAAAGGTCTTGGTTCTTCCTCAAAATCTCCATTCGCTTGAGGATACCTAGCTGAGCTTGTGGTATGAATGAAGCCATACGTTTTCGCAAACTTCCTGAAGGCTTTGGATGCCTACTGAGGACCAATGCCCGAAATAACGATCTCTAGAATTCCATGAGTGGCAAATAGTTCCTTGAGGATATTGATAACGTAATCGGACGTCTGACTGTGAAGTCCTTTAATCTCCAACCAACGAGATTAGTAGTCAACAACAAGAAGATAGATTTTCCCTTGAAGGTCGAAGAGATCCATACCGAGCCGTTCCCATGGGCGCGATGGGAAAGAACTCGACATGAGTGGTTCCTTCTGGTCTGGTCTCACCTTTGTACAAGTATAACACTTAGAAACCATCTCTTGAATAGCAGTTGACAGTCCCGGCCACCAGACTGAGTCACGTGCTCTTGCTCTACACTTAGCTACCCTAGGTGACCAGTGTGGATGCGGTCAAGGATATCCAACCTCATGGCTCTCGGAATAACAATTCGATCGTCATATAACAAGAGATCACCAACAACTGCTAGGTGGCTCTGTGCCTCCCACGCGGCTGGTGAGGTCTGTAGGTAGGCCAACCATTTACACAATACTTGTGGATTGGAGAACATTCTTCATCGGCTTTTTGAGCTGCCCGTATTTCCTGCAGGCGGTTTGTAGTTACAGGTAATGTACCCAAAATCTTGTCTGTATAGCTTTCTACTTCCTCTACAAGATTGTGGTCATATTCCTCCGGATTACCAACAGAACCGCGGGGCAATGCATCTACTGCTGTTGTTTTCCAGAGACATGGACGACATGTGGGTTAAACCTCATGAGCCGCAACCGGAACGTCAGTAATCAGTCATCTTAGGCCCGTTTCAGACGGCGTACTTCTCATGTGCCGAACTTAATTGATGAATTAGGTACGGCAGAAGAACGACGTATGAATCAATTAAGTACGGCAGAATTTGGAGCGGCAAAAGTTCGACACAAGTTCGGCAGAGCTTGTCGCATTATGTGACGTTGGAGCGACATTGGTTCATACGCCGCTCCACTCATGTGCCAAACTTAACTCAACTTTAGTCTAAAAATAAACTTATTTATTTTGAATGTTATTTAGGTTTCGCTAGCGAATGCGCCCCGACCTTGTCAATAACATTGTATTTGGTACGCCGTTTGAATCACTGCCGTTCTTGTGTCGCATCTAATACAATTAAGTTCGGCACGTGAAGAGTACGCCGTCTGAAACGGGCCTTACTCAACTCAGTTGTGTTGAGCAGTGTTGTGAGAGGTTTGTGATCTGTCTCTAGCGTAACAACTGCAATCCGGTGATATAATCCGAGAACCTCTCACAGGTCCAGGTCGCTGCAAGGGCTTCTTTCTCTATGACTGCGTACCGCTTCTCTGTTTCTGATAGAGTGCGGGAAGCATAAATTAATAGATGGGACGACGGTCCCCGTCCTCCTGTATCTGGATAAGCAATGCTCCAACTCCGATATAGCAGAGGCATCTGCAGCGACTATGGTTTCCTTTCGAGGGTCATAACCAGCCAGAACTTCCGAAGACATCAGGAGTTCGTTGATCCGTAAGAATGCTGTTTGATGGGCTGCTTCCCATGTCCACACAGCGTCTTTGTGGAGAAGCTGTCGAAAAAGCACGTTGAGGTCTGCGAGTCGTGGTACAAACTTGCCAACATGATTTACCATTCCTAAAAATCGTTGTAGCTCGGTGACATTTTTAGGTGTTGGGAACTTGACAATGGCTGTCGTTTTATCTGGGTCAATGTGGATGCCCAGATTGTCAATCACGTGTGCCAGGAACTTGATCGACTCTTTACTGAACTCACACTTCTCATCCAGGGTCAAACCTGCATCCTGAACACCTCGGAGTATACTGCACGTACTCTTTCGTCATGTTGCGCATGATCTTTTCCACCAATCAAGACGTCATCCATCTGGCAGATTGTTCCATTAAGACCTTCTAGGATACCAAACATAGTCCTTTGAAATATCTCAGGAGCTGAGCAGATGCCAAATAGCAACCTATTAAAACAGAATCTACCAAATGGTGTTATAAATGTTGTCAGAAGTCTTGATTGTTCGTTTAGTGGGACCTGCCAGAACCCACTGTTCGCATCAAGCTTACTGAAAACTTTCCCCTGGCCCAGCTTGGAAATGCTCTCATCTACAGACGGCATTGTGTGTACTTCTCGCTTAACCGTCTTATTTAACTGGGTCAAATCAACACAGATGAGGACCTTACCATTGGGTTTTGGAACGCAAACCATTCCCGAGCATCATTCAGTAGGAACAGTCACGGGTGAAATAACATTCTGCTTGAGCATAGACTGTAATTCTGCCTCGACTTTGGGTATTAGGGGATGTGGCACCTTTCTTGGATTATACAGAACAAACCGGGGTGGCATCATCACGCAGTGTTATATGGTGTTCAGTTTTTAGCTTCTCTAACTGTTCGAACAATCCAGGAAACTCCTTTCGAAAGTCCGGGGGTGACTGAATAACTTCCCCTACATCATTCAATTTGACAAGGCCCAATTGTACACAAACTTTCTTGTTTAAAAGGGAGCAAGGCTGATTCCGAATAACATATACCAGTTCCTGATGCACCTGTGTCTAGTTTAAACTTTGTGTTGTGACCATTCACCCCTATTTGTGCAGTACAGGAATCATTACTTTCCCCATTGATCTCCCCGAGAAACAGGACCTGATCTTCCCCCAAGCTCTTAACCTCGTTAACTGACTTGGAATAGCTTGACTTGCTCTGACAAACTGCTTGGTATATGAGGGAAGCGCTGGTACCACACGCTGATATGGTCCAGAAACGCTAACAGGGGGAGCTCTCACAAAGACTGTTGTGACAAGCCGTGGGCCGTAGGGGGTGATAAGGGTGTAACAAGATGAACGTGGAAGGTTCCAATATTCATTGGCTCTAGCAAATGAATTTTTTAATGAGTGTTTTTTTGACGAAAAAAAATCACTTGAACTGCGAAATTCCGATTAGAGCAATGATCTAATATTAGGATCACAGTAATGAATTACATATTAATGAAATCATTATAATATCATTACAACATTACACATATTTCCAGGCTATGATTATGCAATTGGCAAAATATTAGGGGCTCGGTCCCTCCACGGTTAATAGAAGGAGACTGGTTAGGCTACTTGTACCACGTGACAAAATATGTTATTCAACCTTGTTTTGAAGGGTCACGTGGTCCGGTCCCTGCATCAGATCTCAATCGCTTATTAGGAATATACAGAATGTATACAAAACCTGCGTTCGAAATTTCAATATAAAGCGGTTGTTTTTTTATTTCAATTCTATTTTTTTGTCGGATGGCAAGATAAATGTCATGCCTAGCGAAAACTGTGCATTTTATGGTTGTTCAAGCAGCAGAAAGCACGGGCTTTCATTCTTTAAACTGCCGTCCGTTCGTGCCGATGACAGCGAGCAAACCTGACAATTGAATGAAAACGCGTGAAAGGAATGGACAAATTTAATCCCGAGGACCCGGTGTTGACTACAGACTTTAAGAAACGTATCGAAGCAAGCAACGTTTATCTCTGTGAACTTCATTTCAAGCCCAAATGCATTTTAACAAGTATGCTTGGCAGAAGATGTGAACACTCAATCAGTTGTACATTATCGACCCAACATCTGATCACAACTTGGTTGGGTTTCCTGATTCATGTTCTCAGCGAAAGGTTTATGTAAGATGGGTTAGGGGACTATTTTGGTCATGAACAAGCGAAAGGTGGACACTCTGACAGACTGACAATCCCACAGCCCAGCAGTTTGGCTGCAATGACCTCACCATTGCTGTACAAAGAGACATTGCACCTGCTATCAGAGAAAATGTGAGTTAGTGATGAACATGTGAAGAAAAGAAAAAGCCCAAAGAAATGACCTAGTACCACTTAAGTAACACATGTTCTCATAATTTATTTGAAGTTATGCAATTTTATGAGTTGTCAAAAATTCTCTTTTAAGCTCCCCCCCCCCATTTAAAACCCCTGTTATTTCTCCTTTGCAAGTAAAAAACACATGAGTTGATTGTGATCTTATTAGATATACTAATTAATCAGCCTAGAATTCGACATTAGAAATTGAGAACAGTTGGCAATATATTGATATAAATATTGGCTTTTGTTTATGCCTTGGCATTGCACCTTGGCACTAACCTTGGCATTGCACCCTGATGCACCCATCCCTACTTTATTATTTTACTCTAACACTAGACAGTTTTACCTATTAAGGGGAGAGTGCTGCCACTCAATGAGCTAATTCAGTATGAATTTGTATTCCTATTTCTCATAGACATGTTGTAAAATGACATCATAAATTTGCAAAGCTTACATACATATCCAAATAATGAAAGCATTTTTATTACTCTATGCTTTGACCATTTGGAATGAATATGTTTGTCAGTTTGTGGTATTAATACTCTGAGTGTGCATCCCCGACAGACAAGCTTAAAAGTTTGCCTGACCACGGTGGGATTCGAACCTGTGACCTTTGGGATACTAGTCCAATGCTCTGCCAACCGAGCCGAAGGAACTAAACTCAGTTCCGAAATATCACCAACTTGAACCGACATGACCTCATAGCTCAGTTGGCAGAGCATTGGACTAGTATCCCAAAGGTTGTGGGTTCGAATCCCACTGTGGTTAAGCAGACTTTTCAACTTGCCCGGTGTGGATGCACACTCAGAGTAACACCACAAACATCATATTCACCTTAGTACATAACACCAACACACACATAAAGTATGGAATGAATGTAGTAATATGTATAGTAATAAAAATATTTACATTATTCAGAGTACCATTGTTGTATACCTCATCAGCAACACAAAGTATTTGCAATTCTTGATAATTTGTTATGGTATCCTTATCTGTGTGCAGCACCGGTTGACAACATGCTGCAAAATGTGTTGTAGAACATGGCACTGAGCCACAAGGTGTCTGTTTATCTGAAGTATGTTTTTCCAGGGGTTAATTGTGCACAATCAAAATTTGTTATAAACTATAAATTATTACATGGCGAGGAACATATTTGTGCATACTCTGACAGTATTTACAACCGTCAACGTTCTAATAACATATAACTATTTAAAATATTCATATTGATAAAACAATCGAATAAGACTATCAGTTGTAAGAATTACTGCGAATGTATTTTCACAGGTGGTTAACCTGCATGCTAGCAATACAGTGGAAATGCATGATTGTGGAATATTTAATCTTGTAGTTGATTAATGATAATTATCCTGGCCAGAATGTTGCTTTAATATGACAGTGAATGAACAGGTAGGCTTATTTTTCCACTTTGGCATTTTGCCTACTTTAGTTAAAAAATCTTTCGTATCAACTCCTAGAGTGTATCCTTTGCAAAACAGTGGTTTCCAACAATAGTCAAAATGCTTAAGTGAAAAACTAGTTAGAGCATATATGTATCTGACCAGTGTACACCACCAAATTACCAATATCAACAGCAACTTCTGTCACCCTATTATTGGCATAAGTATGGTGTTGAAGTTTTTTTTTTGTAAATGGCAGTTTCAAATGAAAAATATACATATCTATGTTTATATTAGACCTAATCGAGAGCATTTACCATATATGTAACTCTGGTAATCTGGTACACCTCTCATTTTTGGAGCCTATATATTGTTGCTGCAAGAGCTAATGTCAGTCGAGGTCAGAGTGTGGTATAATGATAACACATGTATAGTTTCCAATCATTTTCACAATTTATATGATTGTCAACAGTTTATGTTACTGATATAGCTAATCTTTTCAGGCCCTTCCTTGTTCAGATAGTCCCTTGCATATAAAAGTGTGACCTTCCTCAACAATTTGATGACATTTTCCAAGCACAATTTAGTTCGTCGTTGTGTTACACCCCACACTTTCGTTTATTTGTCTGGAAAAGTTTTGATACTATATAGCCTGCGACATACGACAAAGGTTCACGCTCAGCTTGGTCAAGTTTCAACAGAACTTAGCTTGAATAAAGCATCAAAACAAAGCTTGAGTGCATGATGCAGTCTTGGCGCTGTTGCTCATTTCAACCCCACACAATTTTTCTCTTATAATTTGCGATTTGATCGATTCCACAATTGACGCAACAGTATCATAGCAAAAATATGCAATTCTGGTCATGTTTGCTGGGAAGAAAATTCGCAGTGCTTCGAATTTGTGTGTCTGGTTAAAGCCGCCTTTAAATTAATAGACTTTAGTACACAATTTGCCACACTTTGGACAAGGGGACAATTTTTCACCATGTATTTCGCTCAAAGCGTCATTAAATTCGTCCTATATATCCTCTCATTCAGCCTGCGTAACAGCCACGGTAACTTCAAGATTATAGTCTTCATTTTTAGAATCTTCTAGGTAAATTTCAGACTCGCTTTGGCTTGATCTGTTCATACCGTGTGCCATACTCAATACGAGTGTCAAACAACCACGGTGCTTTACGTTCGATTTTTTGTTCTTGAGTCATTATAATTTGATATTTTTCCTGTGGGATGTCCATAAACGCCGTGTATCCATAAAAATATGCTTTCAACTTGCAAAAAAGGTATAAAAATCGCTTAAATTTTGCAAAACACTCTAAATCTCTTAATGTTTTCTTAGTATCACTCCTTGTTGATGCAGGGATCGCACCACGTGACATTTATTTTTGGGGTTCCCAACATAATTTCAGAGACCCTTTGAAGTTTGCCGGCTAGCCTAACCAGTCTTCTTCGATTAACCGTGCCTCCACTCACTTTAATGTGGTACAAAAGGGGAACCTCCCCATTGATATTCAGTTTTCCATGGCACCCGCAGCCACAGCAAGTCTTGTGTTCATTTGCATTTCTTGTCATGGCGATGTCGTGTGTCATATGGTCACTATCTTATTTAATTGTAGCAATAGTTCACTACATAAGTGATGAAGATCTGGGCTGGCCCTTTTTTCTTTTATTAGCTGTAGTTGCTGTTACTTGTATTGCAGGCGTTTTTTTCACGTGCAAAATGTGTTTGGAGGGGGTACAACTGTTGAGAAGATTAAGAGATTTTAACAGTTTCCTATTGGTCAAGAATTTTACGGAAGAAGAGGATGTGATGTATGTATAATATAAAAAACAACAAAATATTTGCCTGAGATGCAATGTTCATTGTTGAAAGATATATTAATATTGCCATATGTGGAATTTGCTAATAGTAATAGTGAATTTATAATAAGTTTCGTTTTGTGGAAACACCACGTAAATTGCAATAATATATTT